TTCAAAAACAACAAAAAAAATGCCGATTTATCATTTCGCGACGTGAAATTTTCGCCATTTTATCGCCGAACAAACACGAAAAATCGACGTCGTTAAAATTACAGCCTTAAGGTTGGTTTTTATATGATCGAGAGTACGGGGACTTCTCGAGATCAGGTAAAATTGTGCTGCTGTTTAATCAATTGAGGGGCAACGAGTGTGCTTTTAGTTTAACACTGGTCATCGTTCGTGCCTTTTCCGACACAGGAAGCTCGTGAAATAAGCTTATGATGTCTGTTCGCAGGCAACAAAAGTGTTTTTCTACATCGTGACGGAGCCTCGGCCATTATGCCGCGTTATGAACTAAAGAAGACTGAAAATTTGTTACGTATACAGGTGGTGTTTCAAGCAAATAAAGTTAACGTCTTTCCAGCGCCTTTCGACTGAAAGTTTAACAGTTCCAACCCAATAATCTCATTTCAAAACTTCCGTTTTACATAGTTAAGTTGCTAGGCTCTTCCAGCCGTCTAAAAAGGCTTTAAACGTTACTTATCCAACCAAGCAACCTATTATTTTAAAGAGCAACTGCAACAAGCACATTTTGACACTGACTTCGTTTCTCGTTGTTAAGTCTCGATCGAGTCGAAGAATTTTTTTTAAATGCGACCAGTTGTCTCAGTTATCGACTGACAGACAGCAGAATGATCTTAAATTCTGGCATATTGAACACGGGAAGCTTTAGCCTTATTCGCAAAAGAAGCTTTAAACTTCGTGTAGTTTCACTTCCTTTTGTGTCAGTGAAAAGAGGCGTAAAAGCAACACACTCAAAAGTGTCAGAACAGCTAATTTTTCGTTCGCTTTGTTTTCCGCTTCCCCTTTCCGCTTCTCGCTTTTAGAACAAAAGGCTTTTAATACGCAGAGTGCGTACTTGAAAAGCTATTTTAATCTGCATTCTTCATTAATAAACGCGCATGGTATTTTCACTGAAAATAGCGACAGCAGATGTTTCCGCGAACCGTTAAAAGGATTTCAGCATCTCACTAAAGCGATGAGATGTTATCGCGGTGCTAATTGGATTTAACGTGGATTTTCTCGGCGGAGAATTCAAGCTTGTGTCACTAAGGTTTGCCTTATGTCTGTATAAATGACATTTAAATACTCAGGCCTGTTTTAGGTTTTGTTTTGTTCCTAAGAGAGTGATTACTTCTTGTCAATTGTTCACTGTTTTGTTTTGGAAACGTGATTATTGAACGGTGCAGCGCTGAACGCCCGCCCGCGCGAACGCTGTTAACACATTCTGAGTATCACATTGCATACATACCACACTGACTTCTAAGAACCAACCTTAAGGCTTGATCTGAGCAAAGCATTAATTTTATCAATTACCCCTCCTAATTATAAAACGTGAAGAGTGAATACAAAAAGTACAGACAATTGGAACATTGTCAGCAATACAAATCGGTCAAACAAAGATTGCGCGAAAACTTTGCCCTCGTTAACCATTACAACAACTGCGACCGACTTTCTTTAAACTTTTTACCAGGGTCTAAGAGCGTTTCACACCCTTTTTGACCCTCTTAAGATTGCAATTTTTAGTTAGTCTCCATAGTACCGTTCAGTTTGTTTCGTTCGGAAAACCTTGTTAAATTAAAAATGGTTTCCTGTGGGAATTGTTAGAATGGTCCTTTTTTAGTCCTCAAGCCCCCATTGTTCTTCAACCAATCTACGCTAAGTCATAAAACCGTCTGCTGTTGTTATTTCAGGGACCTTTGAACACTCAATATGACATATGGATGTCCTGTTTATTGCATTTCCATGCTTTGTTTTAATTACCAGGGCCTAAGTTTGGTCGGCACGATACACTCAGAACAACACTATGGTTTGCTTGCCTGGACAGAAACTACCATAACAGAACATCTGATTCCAGTCCCATGTTAGAGCGATAACGATCGATCCTGTGCATAACTGCAGCTATAATGAAGAAAAACTCGACAGCTTTCATAATCTTGTGGTTTATCTGGTCTGTGAGCCAAGTCGACCTTGTACAGAACTACAAAGGAAAAAGCGAAAGCTTAAGCTATGTGTTCACAAAAGGAGACTTCATCATTGGTGGCCTGTCACCCGTTCATTTCTCCCCAACTGAAGCCGAAGAACAGCAAAATCCAAATTCGTTCACTTGCCAAGGATTGTTAAACACCCGCGGCTTTGAAGCCGTCGAAGCGATGCTTTTTACTATGGATATGATAAACGAAGGGCCACTTAAAGACATCGTGTTACCAAACATTACCATTGGCATGGACATTAAGGACACTTGTGGTAGCGGAGACTACGCTGTTCGCGAGTCGCTGAATTTCTCGTTCATTCGCAACGCTCACGTACAAGAATGCTCGGGCACGAAGCCGCCCGACGAACAACTACAGACCGTTGCCGTCGTCGGTGCGGCGTACAGTGGCGTGTCGATGGCAGTTACGAACCTATGCGGATTGTTTTATGTACCAGTGGTGAGTTACGCATCGACCAGCAGTTTGTTAAGTAACCAAGTCAGATTCCGTTACTTCTTGAGGACAGTACCCAATGACATGCTGCAGGCAAAAGTCATGGCGGATCTGGTTCGCGCTATGAAATGGAACTATGTCATCACACTGGCTTCGGACAGCGAGTACGGACGGTCGGGCATTGAAGCGTTCAAACATGCACTCGCCAGCTTTGGAAATAGCTACGATGTCTGTATTCCTGTAGACGAGAGGTTTACCAAGCGATCAACAGATCAGGAATTCGAGAAGATCTTTGGAAAAATGAAAGCCAATCCTAAGGCAAGAGTTGTGATTCTCTTTGCTCAGCTACACGATGCCGACATACTGATCAACAAATTCCGTCAGCACAAGTATATGGCAAAGGAAAAGTACGTCTGGGTTGGTTCAGATGCATGGGCTGATTCCAAACAAGTCTTGAAAGGCAACGAGGACATTCTACGAGGTATGTTTGGTGTGGTGCCCGAAGTTGTGCATATTCAAGAGTTTGACAAGTACTTCACGAATTTTAATGACAAAAGACGCAAGCGAAATCCTTGGATGCGGGAATATGAGTATTTAAAAGTGGCGCACAATCCAGCCTTCTACCGCCAGACATTCAGACATTATCCCAAAGCACAGTATGTTATGGACGCAGTCTTAGCAATCGCTTATGCATTACATAACATGCTCGGCTGTCAGTCTCGCAAAGACTGCTCATCGAAAATTTCACAGAAAGTAAAACAGCAAGGCTTTCTCAACTACTTGGAGAGCGTGCGTTTTCCGGGAAAGTCTAGAGAATACTTTTCTTTTAATGAGCTTGGCGATGCCATTGGCGTTTACGATATTCGCCATCTGCAGCTGGGAGGCGGTAATTACGAGGTCGTGAAAGCTGGCAAATGGGGTGCCAAAGAGTGTGATGTGTTTGGCACGAATGCATCGAAAAGTTCCTGTCTTGATTTGGACATGAAAATTATGAAAATGGTTAAAGATAATCTGAAGAACCACACGGAAAAAGGCATCCCTTTCTCCACGTGCAGCAAAGCCTGTCCGCCTGGTTTTCACAAGAACCCTGAGAAGAACCACGCAAAATGTTGCTGGGAATGCCGACCTTGTAGTGGAAATGCTATCACGAACCAAACCAACATGGACGATTGTACGCCATGCCCGCGAGGAGACTGGGCCAATCATAATCACTCGCGCTGCGAGCCGATAGAACCCACATCTTTACACTGGCGTGACACCCTAGGTGTAATAATCATCTGTATATCAGGGGCAGGAATCCTGGCTGTCATTTGCACCTTTACTGTCTACTACATCTACCGTCAGACTCCAGTGGTTAGAGCTTCCAGCAAGGAACTGTGTTACATTCTGTTAGTTGGTATCGCTTGGTGTTACGTTACTCCAATCGTCTTCCTTGTGGATAGAACAGACCAGGTCTGTCGCGCTATTCCTTTTGTGACTGGACTGTGTCCGTCGCTCATAGCGGGGACGCTTTTAACAAAGACAAACCGCATCTCAAGGATTTTCAACCGCAAACTCTTGAAAACTGGCACACCTAGCTTTTTGTCCAAGAAGTGGCAGCTCTTGATGGTGATTTGCCTAGCCGTTGTAGAGTGCCTCATTGGAGGAGGCTGCGTTCTATTCAGCGAGACAGGAAGCCGCCTCTTGATCTCGGAAACCAAAAAGGAGGTCTGGAAACAGTGCATAGGCCTACCTAACATTTGCACGGCGATTTGGTGGGTGTACAATGCAGGCCTTGCATTAACTTGCACCTATCAGGCATTCCGAACACGGAAACTGCCTGAAAATTACAACGAAACTAAGTTTATCACCTTCACTATGGTCATAACTTGCATCGTTGTCACTATCTTCATTCCAACGTACATTGGAACACAAGGAATCTACAGGACTACCATCACCTGTTTTGTGTTTATCATAGGCGGTTCTGCAACTCTCTGTTGTATGTTTGTACCTAAACTGTACATAATTCTGTGGAGGCCCGAGAAAAATGTTCCCATGCAACCGCGATCCTCGACGATTCGTCTAGGAACCATCTCTCCTTCAGCGTCCTTTGTGCGACGTTTGAGCGTCGATTCCAACGCGGAGAGAGTAAAAGAAGGCAGGCAACAACGAATCCACTCTTTGCCTAGTATCGAAATAACCAGAACGGATGGCGAGGGCGGAAACAGCGAAGACGTACCGAAGTTCAAGAAAACCAAACGATCCTTTTCCCTCAGTCCGGACATGTTGTCGAGAGCTCGGTCGAGTCCCAAGCGCAGCTCCGAGCGGAACCCGAGGACGTTTCCGGCCCGTCGGCGAGCTAGTGCTGCAAATGTGCAATACCCTGCATCCATGGATATGATCGAGGAAGACTGCGAGCTCGAGCAGGTGCTGGAGACAACTGGTGACAGCGACGACGCCGTGTTTGAAAGTCAAGAACTCGTCAGAGGCTTAGAACAGCTGAAACCGCAACTTTACGACCGTGATAAATCCACTGGCAGTTTGGATGTGGAAGAAGGTGACTGCGATTATCACGAAAATGATGTTTTATTGTTTTCAACCATGGAAGACAGATTGGAAGAGAAAGCTAACTGCGAAGAGGGTTATACGACGTATAAGGGTCGTTGTGATAATGACAACTCTACCACTTGTACCTTGAATAAAGATGACTTTCTTGGTGAAACTGAGAGCGGGTCAAACCCTAAAATGCACAGCTTTCCAGGGAGTGACTCGGAACTGGGCATAACCTGCCAACACTGCGGAAATAACTTCACTAAAACTAATAAAGACATCTTGCTGAGAGTTCTTCGCGGACACTTATCAAACAATGGCAGAAGCCAAACAGGCGAAAAAGAAAAGAATCGGATACTTAACAAAGTGAATAACCCACAGTACCAGAATTATCAAAATGATAACGTTGCTCGCAAGAGAAAAACTGGCATAGCTGAAGTGATCGCTGGTGATGAACGCCTAGCGTCTAGTGGTCTGGATGTGAATGACAACAGGCCGGTCAAACGACAGCGGAACCCTAGTTATTACAGATGCGAATCTCTCAGTTTGCCTTCCCTAATCGCTCCTTTCTCTGAAGGAAGAGACTCCCTTGATTTCAAAGTAATGGCGAGCAAAAAAGCGCGAGAGAAGCACAAACGCTTTCTTCCAAATAGAAAGAACTACATTCCCAGAGAAGATGATGTTAAGAGTAAGTCTAAGCCGAATGGAGACGTTTGTCATCTTTTTATAAATGGCGAATCCGACGAGTTTAAAACCGAGACTGATGAGCTACTTTGCGAAGATGGAGAAGCCGAAACTGTACTGTAAAAAACATTGGTCACGCAACCATCACGCAACGCGCACGGCTCGTCCTGATTAAAAAAGGCTTACACAAACCTTTCATATAAAGGGAATCTAATTTACAAAAGATTAAATGCTTGTAAATAATAAAGAAAGTTACAGATAAATAACATTAGGATGTTAGTCTTTTAAGAAACAGTTTGTGCAACCAAAGCTTTGCTAGACTTCATAATTTTTGACCATTCAGGTATGAAAATTCCAATGTCAGTTTGTAAAATTCAAAACAACAAATTTCATATTTTCCTAGTTAATCATTTGTAATCCATTATGACCCTCCACATTGCTGGCCATCCATATTCATTGTTGGTTTATTAGTATTTTCCCCCCAGGGAGGACTCCCATATAAAAAGCACAGGGGTGCTCTCAGAAATTTTGAAAAGAGGTACTGGATCCTGTTTTCTGGGCAAGAGGTATCAATTCTAATACACCATGTTATCTCCTGTCATATTCTTTGGCTCAATACCCTAAAAGGTACCACAAAAGTTCCCTTTGTAGACCTTTTGAGGCTGAACACCCTAAAAAGAGGTAACAAAACTGCTTTTTTAACCCCTAAAAGGTACCACTAGCACCATCGTCCTAGCAAGCTATTATGTGGACATTTCCCTTGAATAAAGAAGGAAGACGCACCAAAAGGGAAAAATGTTTATGATAAATTTGTGGAGTGTCCTGCCAATTACACAAGATATTTTTGAGTAATAGAATATATTTATTTATAAGGATCTTTGTCAGTATAAAGATTTGCTAGCATAGAAATATCTCAGAAGATAAGATTGAATTAAAACAGTGCTAGAAAAAAAGGTTATAGTTTTTAATTCTATTGCTGGTTTTCAGTGTCACGCCATTCAAAATAGATCAAAATCAAAATCAAAACCGTTCAATAGATA